AGCCAGGTACCAGGAGGCCTGTGAAACCCGTGATGCCACCTAGAAAAAGGAGGCGGTGGAGCTTTCGGGGCGGGCGCGTCGTCGTGCGGAGGAGGTATACGAAGACGGGTACTTCGCGAGGAATGTCAAAGGCGCTAGGCGCCTCATCGCTGCGTGGAGGTGGGGCCGATAAGCTCCAGTGTGCGACCAATGAGGAGCTCCGGTGGGCGCCCAATGAAATGGCAAGATCATTCGCGCTCGTCCGCCAGCAAGAGGCAGATCGGTATGTCAAGCGCTGCGAGGCGGAGGAGGCGGGGTACTGCATCCGCACTGGGAAGACTCTGCGCACCAGGGAGCTCCTGGCGAGGGGCTGCCGAAATACTGCCCCCAGAAGGGATTATTAGTTTTAGTATTGTTCGTTATCAATTCTATGCATTGTACCTAGTAGTTAAGTGTCATCACATATATGTGATGATATTATATATATTCTGTGATGAACTAATGAACAATTAATATATATATATATAATGAATTCCATTTTCTATCTGTTTTTTATACTAATTTGAATCTAGTTGTTATCATCCACATATACAGAATGAAAAGCTTATATACACACATTGAAACAGAACATATAAGAATGGAAACAGAGTACACACATTAAAATAGAGCAATAAATGGAGCAATACTATGATTGCTTTGAATACATTGCTATCCACATCGAAACGACTCAACAAAATAAAACGCGTCCATGAGACCATGACCAGAAGCCCTTGCCTACGGTAGCTCTTGGCTCTGCCTGAACTCGTGCAGGCATTCGTCCAAGCGGTCGACACGCTCGCGGTACATTTGGAGCGCGACCTCGAGCTCCAAGTTGTCAATTTCATCGGAGATCACCAGCTCGAGGATGCGACGGCCATGTTCCTCTAATGCGCCCAGGTGGACACCTGGGCCAAGGAGGCGGTCGAGCCTACCGACCAGCGCGTTGGCATCGGCGCAACCCATGCGAACGGCACAGTGGGCGTCCGGTGCAAGTACAGCGCGGCCGGCCTATGGTTCAAGTACGGCGCGGAGGGCCTCTGCCCACTCCTAGCGATGAATGGGGGTACTGACGGGACGTGTACCCAGCTGCGACGCCCTATCGACAACAGGCAAGCGCCGATAGATCCGCTCTTGCTGTGCGGCGCACCACACCTCTCGCTCTGCGGCGCTCTAACGGTATCGTCGTGCGGCGAGCTGCAACCTATCGGCATGGATGCGCCTAGCTTGCTCTGCGGCGCGCCATCGATCATGTTGTGCGGCGATCTGCAGCCGTTGAGCGCTCACATGCCTATCTTGATCTGCGGCGCTGAAGCACCATGCGCCAAGGGTCTGCTCAACCCTGGCGATGACACGCATCACAGCATCGTCCATCGCGTTGCCGTGGCGCGCCTCGGCCTCAACAGGCCGTGGCGCCTTCTCATTTTCCTCGTCGACGAGGTTGATGACAGAGGTGGCGCTTTGGTGGGTTGGCATGCTTGGAAAAGGTGGATGTGCTACAGGCTGCGCTCGTTGCCTCCATGTGTCGCACGCTGCCTAGGTTTATGCGTAATATTGCTGGGTGGCAGAAAACAGGCGAGGAAATAACGAGAAACAGTGGTGTGTTCATAAAACGCCATCAATTAATGGAAACTTAGCATATAAGGAACATCGAGCTAACACAAGAATGAGATGAGGATCAGATGAATACATGCCACACTAGGGAACCCGTTGGTGATGAATTCATCAATTGCAAACGGTTGTATACTAGCAAGCGTTTGCCCACAACACACATGGCTTATTCCATCACAAACAGGTCGGATAGATCAACTATATGCCACGTATTGCACATTGTCAAAAAGTATTGTAGTAGACCTTCTTTAACATGTGTTAAAAAAGCAAGGACCTCGAGGTTAACTTAACTGATGGGATGGATCATAGATGTCATTTAATTTGATCTCTATGACTCATCCCATCAATTAATTTAACATCAAGACAACTTCCCATCCAGTTACCCATCTGAAAGCGGCTTTAGCCTGAGCACAGTTAACTTGAGAGTTCTCTTAGACGAGATATTGGTGGAACAGCTAGTCCTTGCTCATATAGGATGCCTCTTCGCATCCTTATGGCATATCCGGATGACCGCCCATCGCCCAATGGCCAATAGATGTTGCATAGACAGAGCATATCACATACGTCTTATTAGAAGCAATCGTCTGTGTTATTATCGGTCTTCGCACACATTTCTGATTACAGACCTGTTTGTCGCTTATCACACACATCTTGATATATTAAACTGTTTCTGTTATCTTGGCTCAACGCAAACAGTTTATTCGAGTGAACTATTTGCCCTCTATCGCACACACTTTGATCTAACTGACCGTTTCTTTTGTTTTGCCTAATCATAAATAGTTCATCCGAGTGAACCGTATGTCGTATCGCACACACCTTCATCTGGCTGCCCGTTTCTATTCTTCTGCCTCATCACAAACAGTTCATTAAACTAAATCATATGCCCTGCATCGCACACGCAACTAAAATATGAACCGTGTTTGATGCATCTGTCATCGCAAACGTTTTGCACCTTTTTGGCGGGTTTTTACATCACCTTTTGCGACTATTGCATCGCACACAGTTTCGTCGAAGGGTCTCTGATCGTAGTGTCGTGTTAGCAGCATCCTGCAGTAGTGTGTGTGAGTAGTTCCTTAGGACCTACGGGTCCATAGTAGTATCTAGATGGCTTTCTCTTTGTTTTTTTTATTTTCAATACAATGATCTTCTCTAAGATCAATCTGATGTAATCTTTTGCGGTGTGTTTGTTGGTATCTGGTGAATTGTGGGTTTATGATCTGATTATTTATTGGATTTATTTGAGTCTCTTGTGATCTCTTTGCTGCGTAATTTTATAGCTTTGTATTTCTCTCTAATCTATTTGTCTACTTTGGCCAAATTAGATTGATTTATCTTCAGCAGGAGAGGTGCTTTGTGGTAGGTTTAATCTTGTTGTGATCTTGCCTTATGACATGAGGGGCAAAGGCACGTATTGTATTGTTGCTACTATGGATAAAACGACGGGGTTTGGTCATATTGATTTATCTTATTTTTTCTACATTATGTCATCTTGCTTAAAGTGTTACTCTGTTTGTCATGAACTTAATACTTTGAGACGCATGCTGGATAGTTGTCTTGGTGTGGGAGTAATAGTAGTAGATGCACTTGGATTAGCTGTCTACTTGTCACGGACGTAATGCCTATGTAATGATTATGACATGGATGATCATCATAACTATGCTCAATTCTATCAATTGCCTGACAGTAATTTGTTTACCCACCATTACTATGCTTTCGAGAGAGGCCTAATGAACATGTGGCCCCTCGGTCCATTCTCCATAATACTAAGAATCCTACAATTGCTTTGTTTGCTCTCTTTATTTTCTTCTTACTTTTTATTTACTTTATCTATCACTATCAGTTTTAATCTTGCAACTGGCGAGAACAAGGGGAGTGACGACCCCTTACTTTTCTTGGGTGCAAGCAATTGATGTGTTTGTGTGTAGGTACTGTCTACATTGCTGGTGTGGTGCCTCCTACTGATTTGATAAACATTGTTTCTTAATTGAGGGGAAATACCATCTGCTACTATACTGCTTCACTCTTTCTCTTCTGGGAAACCCAACAACTCCATCGTGAGTACCAGGCGGCGTGCTGGACGACGAGCTGGGCCTCCGTGGTGGGTTGGGCCACAGCAGCGTCCAAGGGGGTGAGCGCTTGGTCGAAAGGATGCCTGGCTCGAGCCTGCGGTAGCTTTAATCTAGATCTTCTATTGTTGGGTACGCACACGTGGCTACATGCACAGTCTACAACAGGTGTTGGGTTCTGCTGTTAGGATCGATCTCGGCGAGATCACACAAGTCGAGGGCCTCTGGTGTTGCGCGTCTTCGCTTTCCATTTGCCTCACCGTTCCAATACCTTTGTCACATCTCATGCACAGTCTCAAACTTGTCGCCTCTGAACGTGATATGATCTTCTCTCCTGCTTCCAAGCGAACCATACAAGATTGGCACCGTTCCTCTAGATCAACAATCTGCGACCTCCTTGAAACTTGCTCATGATACCACTTGTTAGAATAATTTGAGGCGATCCACTGATGACTAAGCAATCACACGAGGCACGACAGTGAGATTTGCTAACAAGGTTCACCGAACATCGGCTACATCCCTGAGCCTGACTATGGATGCTCATCTCCATGATACCGCTACAATACCACACACCAACTCCCCTGCATGTATGTCCTGTTATGTTGGCATAGGTTGTTACTTCGTGTGTCTATAAGATACAAAAGTCCTACTATGACACCACAACATACTCTGTCTACACACCATACGACGCAGAGTCTAACTATAACCTACCTTGTACACAATATTCAGCACAACTCTAACACCAGCCGACGACACCCGCACCGAGCGACCCCTCCGGGTAGCAGCCACTACCACGCCACACGGCCAAAGAAGCTCCTCAAAGCCAGCCGAGCTTCGGCGGCGGCACCTCTGGTGACGGCGGGAGGAGAAAGGGGAGGGGTGGAAGAGGAGGCGTCGCTGGTTTCTCCTCAAGCCGTGAGAGGGGGCGACACGAGTTGTTTTGCACTTTTATTGTTACTCTCTGTGAAGAAATATAAGATCGTTTAGATCATTAACTGGTCTAAGTAGTGATTTAAACAATTTTATATTCCTTCACAGAGGGAGTACTTATTTAGTTTTTGGACTCTATGTTGTTCTTTCTATAGCACAGGACGATCTTCACCATGTGAAAGATACTATAGATGATGAAAAACGCATGGGATGAAGGAGTTGCCACACCGGCGCGGCGGTACGTCCCGCTGAAACAAAGATGCATACACATACATTGTACTACACCACATGATCAAATCACGAAGGGAGCATTAATTGATCCACTACATGGAGCGCGCGATGCGAATGCAGAACAGCTATGGACGGAAAAGGAAGGTTCTAGCCGATGATCTGGTCGAGGACGCCGGTGTTCTTGAGGCCGAGCACGATGCCGACGCCCAAGATGTGGCCGAAGGAGCCGCATGCGAGCGTGTCGGCGAGCGTGAAGCCGGCCGGGTCGCCCGTCTGCAGCCCGGACTCGCGCGCCTCCAACTTGAGCCCCGCCGTAGCCTTCCTGTTCGCCGACGGCGCCAGCCCGAACCGCCCGGCGAACAGCATCAGGGTCGTCGTCGTCACCATGATCTGCATCCGCGTATAGTAGTAATTATTTTAACCAAATAAACAATCAATGCCTGACCCATTCGCATGTATACGTAGTACTATGTGTGTGATCTTACGATGTTGGTGGAGGAGCCGATGTAGTCGCAGCGGATGCCCTGGGACCTCTTCCTCAAGGACGGCAGCGTGGCTATGGACCTGGGCGAGGAGTAGCTCCTGAGGCCGTGGAACTGCGGCACGGAGGTCATGGCGGAGAGCTGGGAGGCCATGGCTGCGGATTTGTGTGCTGTGGATGCTGCGATTGCTCAGGTGCAATGCTCAACGAGCTCCTTTCTTAAATCTTGTGGAGCCGGAGCCACACGGGGGATCGCGTGGCGAGCGGCGGCCACTCGAGGATAGGTTTCGGATCCTTGCCACCGACGTGGCGCCCCCTGGTTAGGGAGTGCCTGCCAGTTCGGATAAGATACACCACCGTGTCTAGCTCCTCTCCGTCTGTCGCTATTCTTTTGCTGACGGCATCACCGGCATGAAACGGTTCAGTAAAATAATTAGCTCTTTTCGTTGCTGTTAAATAAATAAATAACTACTTCCTCCGATCCTTTTTAGTCTGTATATAAGTTTTATCCAAAGTCAAAGCATGTCTATTTTAACTAAATTTATAGAAAAAAGTATCAACATTCACAATGTCAAATTAATATTATTGGATTCATTATGAAATGTAGTTTCATGGTATATATATTTGGTATTGTAGATGTTGATATTTTTTAATATAAATTTAGTCAAAGTTTACAAAGTTTGACTTGACACAACTCTAATATGCGGAGTAAAAAGGATCGAAGGGAGTATATTTGCAACCTGCAAATTCAAAACAAAAAAAACTTGGTTTTACGTGGCACACACGAATTTGCCAATGAAAATAAAGTGTGTGATGCGTCTTCCAAGTCGTAATGTCACATACACCATGACGGTAGTACCTCAGAGCACACCGAATACCAATCCTGACATCACTACGATAAAGAGGAATGATTGATCATCAACAATATGACCTGATATTATGACGGCATGGCATGCGCAAGCTGTATTTGAATACAACACCACTCTCTCACACTCTGAAAACCTATATACATTTCATGAGACATGTAAAAAAAAACAGAGTCACAAGGGCCACTAGCTCTTGTGTGTTGGTTCTTTAGAAGAACAAAAGGATCAAACAAGCTGACACGCTACAAATCCTACAAAATACACACTACAAACCAACAAATTGCAACACCGGTATTGAACAACATACGTTCCTGATTGACGTACATTCTCAGATATATCATGTTTTCATGCCTCTATCCTGAGAAGTGAGTTGAGGGAGGTGCTGTTGAACTTTTGGGCGAGGCCCCTGATCACCAGAATGACAAGATCTCGCATATGCCGCGTTTGAACCATCAAGTCAACTTCGTTATCACCGTCAACGACAATCTTGAAACGGTGCTGATCGTTACGATATAGCTCAACCTGCAAGCCTCAAATAAATGTTAGCATAAGTGCATAGCATATTGCTGAAGAAAAATGGAGTACATATTACCAATACCAGATTGTATATATCTATCCAGTTCATGGTAACAGCTTACATGGAATGGGGGGGTGTATGTCCCTCGGGCTTCAGTAGTTGCAAATGATGTCTTGGATCCAGGCTTTACAACCTTGATTCTCTTTCTGTTGACTTCCAAAATTCTCCGCTCCAAATGTCCCATCACTTGTGCCTGTTAGTATTTTAATTAATTTTTTGGGTAAGATAGGTATATTTGGATATCTTAGTATGCTGGTGAGCCGATGCGTAAGGACATCAAAAGTTTGGGGAAATACCTTTTTTGGTGTTCGGTCCTTGTCACACAAAACCTGTTTAATGCAAAGTTGATGCACTCTAGTCAGTAGACAAAGAATAAATTTCACTAAGATAACACAAGGTATACCATTACTTTGAAGATCGCAAACATTGTAACAATATTATATTTAAAATAGTTAGTAGTGACTGGAATGTATACAATTGACTCAAGTTTGTTTTCAGATTATATGTTTCGTGAAAAACACAATTCATTTGCCCAAATCAATGAATTTTCCACTTTGTTGTGGGGAAAAACAAACTCAGGGACTTAAAGAAAAACATGAAAATGCTATTCTAGCTCCTCACTTTTACTTTTTTCCTTCACCCAACCCCAAAACAATGAATTTCCACAAAAAAACTTGCTGGCACATGGCTCCTCTAATATCTACGCATCAGATTTTGAGGGTTTGGTTTGAAACTTCTCAAGTCAATTTTTTAATTTTCCAAAATAAAGAGAGCATGCGCTCCCCGAGAGCACAAACAATCATATTTTCTTTTGCAGGGACAGCACAAATAATCATTGCAATGGAATTTTTCTCAGACTCAGAATTTAGTGGGAAGAGTTCACGACTGTTACTCATCTCTCAGTGACAACAGTGAATAGGAAACTAAACTGATTTTAACAGTTTGTCAAACAGATATTAATCCATTCATGTTAGCTCTGAACTAGAGAAAAAAAGGGGGAATTTCAGAGAAGAAAGGTTGTCACCTCAAACTTGACAGAACCGTCGTCAAGCTTCTGTTTTACTTCCTTGTAAATTTCGGGTTCTGAATAAGATGAAAGCAGAAATTAATACGACAAACTAGTGAAGGCTGTACGAAAACAATGACTAGAATAGCTAAGAGCCTAAGATGATTTTAAATAATGATTCCCTAATTGAATACATTTATCATAAATACGACATGTATGCACTGCCACGTGTTCATGTTCCATTCTATAGAGGCATGCCACATTCATAAGTTTAATAAATACAACAACAACAAAGCCTTTAGTCCCAAACAAGTTGGGGTAGGCTAGAGGTGAAACCCATAAGATCTCGCAACCAACTCATGGCTCTGGCACATGGATAGCAAGCTTCCACGCACCCCTGTCCATAGCTAGCTCTTTGTCGATGCTCCAATCCTTCAGGTCTCTCTTAACGGACTCCTCCCATGTCAAAATCGGTCGACCCCGCCCTCTCTTGACATTCTCCGCACGCTTTAGCCGTCCGCTATGCACTGGAGCTTCTGGAGGCCTGCGCTGAATATGCCCAAACCATCTCAAACGATGTTGGACAAGCTTCTCCTCAATTGGTGCTACCCCAACTCTATCTCGTATATCATCATTCCGGACTCGATCCTTCCTCGTGTGGCCACACATCCATCTCAACATACGCATCTCCGCCACACCTAACTGTTGAACATGTCGCATTTTAGTCGGCCAACACTCCGCGCCATACAACATTGCGGGTCGAACCGCCGTCCTGTAGAACTTGCCTTTTAGCTTTTGTGGCACTCTCTTGTCACAGAGAATGCCAGAAGCTTGGCGCCACTTCATCCATCCGGCTTTGATTCGATAGTTCACATCTTCATCAATACCCCCATCCTCCTGCAACATTAACCCCAAATACCGAAAGGTGTCCTTCCGAGGTACCACCTGGCCATCAAGGCTAACCTCCTCCTCCTCACAGCTAGTAGTACTAAAACCGCACATCATGTACTCGGTTTTAGTTCTACTAAGCCTAAACCCTTTCGATTCCAAGGTTTGTCTCCATAACTCTAACTTCCTATTTACCCCCGTCCGACTATCGTCAACTAGCACCACATCATCCGCAAAGAGCATACACCATGGGATACCTCCTTGTATACCCCTTGTGACCTCATCCATCACCAATGCAAAAAGATAAGGGCTCAAAGCTGACCCCTGATGCAGTCCTATCTTAATCGGGAAGTCATCGGTGTCGACATCACTTGTTCGAACACTTGTCACAACATTATTGTACATGTCCTTGATGAGGGTAATGTACTTTGCTGGGACTTTGTGTTTCTCCAAGGCCCACCACATGACATTCCGCGGTATCTTATCATAGGCCTTCTCCAAGTCAATGAACACCATATGCAAGTCCTTCTTATGCTCCCTATATCTCTCCATAAGTTGTCGTACCAAGAAAATGGCTTCCATGGTCGACCTCCCAGGCATGAAACCAAACTGATTTTTGGTCACGCTTGTCATTCTTCTTAAGCGGTGCTCAACGACTCTCTCCCATAGCTTCATTGTATGGCTCATCAGCTTAATTCCACGGTAATTAGTACAACTCTGAACATCCCCCTTGTTCTTGAAGATTGGTACTAATAAATACAGTAGTAAAATTGCAGTAAATGGTAATAGGAGAACATTGGTGGGAAAGATGGTAGGTGTTTCTTATGAGGATGGGGTAGGCAATTTGACTATACCAACAGCAATCGGCTCTGTTGAAGCAGAAACAGGTCGTCCCTCAACCCCATCCTCTCTCACAGGTGTGTAAATTGCAACAAGTCTATACCCTACATCATCAACGTTTGCTTCATACATCCTTCCAGTTTCACCTGCACAAGAAATCAAGCGCGGGTAAAAGATGTCAAAGTCTAGAAGAATAGTTGATTGGGTACATCTTTTAAAATAGGTACAAAGTAATCATACCAGGTATGGAGATAAGATCAGGGCTTCCAACCATTGACCTAAGCCATTGAATTTTGCTCTTGCCTTCTTTACCACCACTATAGATACCCCGAACAGCATATAAGTTGGTGTGGAAACCTCTTCCTTCAATTTCCAGTTTTTCAATTTTAGGTAGTCCTGTTAAAAGACAAATACCACTGATTATAGATATTACTGCAACTTTGCATGAGACTGAATACCAATTATCAACAATCACCAATACAAGTGCAACTTGATCTTCATGTTTGGGTCAAATATTGCAAATGCCCTTAAAAGAACTACTACTATTATTTACTTTTAGCAGCCAGAAGAACTTCAATGGACAGGGCAGAAGCATGCACACATTGAACAAATAAGAACACATTGGATCTAAATATAAGCAGTAGAAAAGACCTGGCAAAATAGGGGAGGTCACAGCTGATACCGATTCACTGGATCGTCCAAATACATCAATAGCAATGCATTCACATTTGAGGCATCGGCCTATATCCTCAAAGCGTACTCTGTATGAAGGAGAGCACTCGGTAGCCAAAGGTTCAAAAGACAGGTCCACTCCTGATCCATTTGAGGCAAACCTGCATCCAAAGATATACAGTACATGTTACACACATATTGACCAAAGTATATCCAAAGATATAGATGTTACATCCCTTTTCTTACCATTGGTATTTTATTTCTTTCTTGTAGTTACCCCATATATGCTCTTGAGTCTCATTTCTTGGAATTTGTTCAACTACAGCAAGTGTTTCTCTCTCAACTTGATTTCCTTTGAATGAAAGGGTCTCGATTTTGAGTTGCTCTGCGACAGAAAGATTCAGTTACATAAAAATGAGAACATAAAAGTAATATATCCAATAGGTTCAGAGACGTATAGCTTACCTGGAAAGATTATATCAGATGGTTCAGAGAACTTTTCTTCGCCAATGACTCCATCTGAACGAACAGGGGTATACCTGCCAAGAATTGCAAACACATACTGCATATTAGACATCAGGAAAGATCATGCCCAGTAATTTTCAACCAAATTATCCATAAGTTACTTTTTATTCCAATGAAAGTATGTCAGATGTTGTCATTTATCTTAGAACGATGAAATATACAACAGAAGCAACATTCTGCAGACAAATCCTTTGGAACGCAATTTTCTGGTGAATTACGGATCATAATATATTTGAGAAAAAAACAGTAGAACGACTTTGAAAAGAAAAAACATAACATGCCACTGAGGTTTCTTCACGTGGACTATATTATCTAACCTAAGATGAGAATAAACAAACCATCAAGTGATTCCAATAAAAAGTGTCAAGACAAAAATAGACTTAATTAAAATGATTTACCCAAACAACAGATGGCAGCTGTAATCTGCATCTGCCACTTCATATGTACTTGAAGCAGCGCCATCTATACAAATCCTGGTCCCATCACTAGATTCCCTATACCACTTATGCAAGCTTGATCCCTCATATCCACCATAATAAATGCCTACTCCACTGTATAAGTCTGAACTTGTCTTCTTCAAGTTAACATCCAAAACAGATGGAAAAGCTGCAAATCTCATACAAGAGTAAGAATCTGCAGGAAGTAAATACTTAATACATAGCAATGTCAAGTAGGAACAGATCAAGTGGCAACCTGCCATGACAGGGTTATCAGTGATAGCCATCAATGGGTCACCAGTCTTTCCATCACATCGTGTAGGAACCCAGCAAAGGATCAAGTAGAAGCCAACATCAACCAATGAAGGTTTGTACAATCTGTTAGACATTGCATTATTTCAAATGAATTAGCTCTTAACATAAATCCTTCAAAAGCAAAAGCCTTGATGCAATCAGTAAAAGAACGCACAAGGTTTCTCCGACGACTTCTGAACATGATGCCACCAGCTCAGGTTCCAAGTTATCAAGCTTCTCTGTAGTTCGGAACCAAGTATATTTTCCAGTGCCTTCTTTGCCACCGAAGTAGGCTTTGATAGGAGAAATTTCATTGTCCTCAAAACACTCTGGTATAACAAGACTGACACCCTTGGGCTCCCCTGTGTCAATGGCGGATTAACGAACAGACAATTCTTTAGATTAAAATTTGTATAGAGTTTGGGCACGCTATGCTCAAAACTGAATTCATTTCATCTACTCCCTCCGTAAAGTAATATAAGAGCGTTTAGATTACTATTTTAGTGATCTAAACACTCTTATATTAGTTTACAGAGGGAGTACTTCCTACAGGATCCAGATTATCACATACAAGGACAATCCATGTTATGATTAATGAAGATTAAAGCTACTAGGCATTTTCTTTCTGCACTAGATCAAGGCTTCTCCACTGATGGAAACAGTAGAGCATTTTGGAAGAAGCACTAACCAGGTAAGATTATATCCGAAGAAACACTCTTGGGTGACCCTTGCACTCCATCTTCTCGTACAGGTGTAAATATAACCTCAATTCGGCAATCAACATCAGCTAGAACAAGATCTAGACATTCTAAGAGACAAACAATTGAACATTAATTCTGCTCCAACAGAGAAAAAACAGCAACTGTATCTGATAGGGCGCAATCCTTAAAAAAAACTTAATGTGCACTGACCATCGGCAATCAACTCATCCTTGCTACCATCATCATGTGACCTGAACCATTGCTGGATGCAGTTTCCCTTAACACTAGAATGAGAAGAAAAAGAAGCAACCAAATCAGATCGGCTAGTATATGTCAATAGGCATAACCTGGAACACTGGCAGTGTAGCTTACCCTCCAGTATACTCAGCATGAGAGGTCAACCGACCACCTTCAAGCATAGAGCCAGCTAGCTCAAGTGATCGACATGCCGGTGGCCCTGCAAACAAGTATACAAGGGGATTTTGGTCCATTTAGCTAGCCAGTGTTATTACATCAATGAATAGATTGGAGGAAATGCGTGTCCACATGCACATGTGTACAGAAGCATGAGAACTAAAGAAAAGCGCTTATTTTCCCATGAGATAAAATTGTCAGCTAATGTACCAGGAATAATAGGACCGATTGCTTCTGTCGACACCAAAGAACCATGAACTCCATCAATTCTAACAGGCTCGCACGAGACAGACACGTAGAAGCCAATATCATCGCATTTCAAGCTGTATGATGAGCTTGTTGCGCCTTCAATTTCATTCCAGGTTCCATCAGAACTTGTCTACACACAAAAGAGAGTTCATTTTAAGGATGCCACTGGATACCCAATCTGTTAGAAGTTACAAAAAGTCATCATTGTGTGAAAACAATAATGGTGTTTCAATAACCTACCAGTACCCAACAGAATATCGTGTCCCCTTCTTCTCCTCCCCAGTATCTTCTATTGGCAACCATAGTTGTCCCTTCAATGGCCTCACCATTTAGTTCAAGAGAAAGTAGCGTCGGATTTCCTGTTAAAAGTGAAGAGATTTAATTAGTCAGTGCATTGGAAATCATTTTGCTTGACGAATTTTATTGGTCAGTTAACATCTAGACTATGTCAAAACTACAGTCAGGAAACATAACTCAGCCATAAAAAAGCAACCAATCCACAAAAGAGAATTAAGTGGCATACTGAAGCTATTCTACTCGACTACTCCTTTGTTTTTGACATATATACAATCTCGGCATCATGTCACGACGCAAAAGCATATTAGGCATCCGCAAAGAATCCTACTTCATTTATTCAGTCAGCTTCTTGCTTGGCACATAAAGTGATCTCCTATTTGAGAAATTGCTCGGGAGGAAGGAGAATGTGCACCTGGTGTAACTCTATCATTTCCCAAGAAAACTCCTGGCTCACCAACAATACCATCGTTCCTGATTGGTATGCATTTGAAAGAGACAAACTTCCCAACATCTTCCTTTTTAATGTGATATTGTAGCAAACCAGACGCTTCTGAAAGTGGGCTGCCTTCATCATCCTCAGTCTGTCAAACTTTTTGTAAGTGGAGCAACAGTGTGGCATAAAGAACGTAGAACATAGCTAGTACCCAAGGAGTATATACTAAATATATGCATTTCTAGAAGCCCAATATGCATGATGAGTGCTATTTACTGAGAATCAGTGTGAACTAAGTTACAAACAAGAAAGTATAGCAATACCTCATGAAGATACCAGCTGTATAGACTATTTCCTTCATAGCCCCCAATATACCCATATGATGCAGTCAACATTTGATCCTCTGAGAATTCACCAGTGACTGTCAAAAAGTTCAGACTGGGCGGCAATGCTGCAACAGAGGAGAAATATAACCAAGCTGTCAAATTTAGAAAGCAAATGGCAACAGCACGAGAACAAAGAGGTAAATCACAAGATGCTAGTGCATATTTGCCCAAACAAAAACAAAAGCTTGAAGGTGAATGATGTGGACCTTCATGACCTTACAAAAGTTTTGGATGAATTTTATGCTCCCAGTATTCCAATAATAAACAGGAGAAATACCAAAATCTACTGGCTAAGAAATTTGTGGAGATAGTCCAGTGGAACTGTAGAAAACTTCTAGCCACCCATTCAATAAATTAATTAGGTCATCTACCATTCATGAATTTAGTATTCAAGTGTGGGCAGATAATGAACTGGTAGACAAAACTACAAATGGCCACTGGTGAGAGTTGTGAACAGAATATTCATCCTTATCAGAAGTGTGAACACAAAATGATATTTAGGACAAATAGTTGAGTTTGACAGAACATGAACTTACTTTCCACAACATCATCTAATACAGCATAGGCTGGTGCACCAATTTCGCCATCAGGTCCCACAGGAGTAAACTTTGCAACAATATAACATCCAACAGCCCCAAGAGGAATGTGGAATGTCTAGTATAAAATTCACAAAGAGATTGTAACTCACCATATCTCCATTAAAAACATGACTACAAGTTCAGTAATGCTGCAACACCAAGAGAAGTAGAGAATAAAATTTAACATACCTTGGAGACTTTAGATGTACAAAGGGCTTCAAGCTCATGGTCATTCACAAATTCAGATGAAGATGCCTTGAACCACTGAACCCTGCTGGATACTTCAGTTCCACCTGTGACGGTAGCAGTAACAGATACCTTGCTTCCTTCTCTTGCTTCACCAATAATCTTCAAATCAAAGACTTTCGGAGGAGCTAACCGACCAAGGGAAGTAAAGCAAAGTGATCACACAGCTAATAGCAACATTATCGTAAAGCACAGAAACATTAACACTTTAACTGCAAAATGGGCACAACGTCATTAGTTGCTACCTTTCCGTACTGCCTCTGTTATGGCGAAAGCAGCTTCACCCTCCTGGCCTGGAAAGACACTAATATAATTTAGTATAACAAAATATCAATGCACACAAGCAGTGGACAGTTGAACGGACCTTCAAGATTGATGGGAGTATATACAAATTTGAGGCACCAGCCCACATCCTCCTTGGTTAGTGTGTATTGTGTGCTATTCGACAGCACTAGAAGATATCCACTGCACAAGATCAAGTAGTTGTTTCCATAAATAGCATACTACATCAATTTCTACACACTGCGTGTGGTGCTAGACTAGTGCTCAACCAGAGCAGCTAAAGATAAATCATTCTTTCATATTTCTTATTTACTTTATAAGTTTACATTCAGTTGAATATTGCTCCTTAAAATGTTGGAAACTCCTAGGTGCCTAGAGTCCAGCATCACAAATGGGGATGTCGGAAGCAAGGGGCATCAAAATCACATTCTATTGGTACAACCACAGTCCGATAATGTTCAGTCTATTTAATCTAGCTATGTAAAGGCATCTACTTGGATTATTAAGACCAAAAGATCTGTTCAGACACAATGGGTGATGTAAGTAGGATCTTCCTAGTGACAACATAAGAATGATACCTTAGACATCGCATATGACTATGAAAGATTTGGTTTTGGCAGTCCAGATTCTCAGAAGGCATACCAGTTCCTGAATTGCTATTTCATAAGAGACAAGATAAGCCTGGTCGACTGACCTGGTTTCAAAGTTCAGCTGATCGGTTCAACCTATAAGTACTTAACTGAGGCATAGGACAAATCAAAATATTATTTTACTTCAGAAGGATAAGGAAACGTTTACAGAAGAAAACTTGACGGGTGCTCCCAGGAAAAAAGCACAAACGCTCAACTAAAGACCTTTCCTTGCAATCTTATTAAGATCTACTATTTCTGTCCAAATTGATAATAAAGCCTTGGTCGTTTTTGTCTGGCTACACACAAAATTCCTGGAACTGGTTGTCAAATGCTAAATTTGATACTGGGCCTAAGACCGATGAAGGTGACAGGATGGACCGGATGTAATGCTCTGAGAAGCGAGGGCCGAGGGTAGGCTGGCCATCTCGCAGGTTGGTGAAGGGGGCAGAAGGGACGGACTGGGATTAGATTTGTACTAGTTCATACTCTCATTCATTCCATGATCAGTACCGATACATGATTATTTAATATTTATATAGATGGCTCTCTTAGCCCTACGCAACTAAGATTAACAGATGAAATCATATCTAATCTCTACAGAGGACAACCCTTCCATGCTTATGTTTAATTGGCTTAAGGCCCAAACTACTTGATCTCAGTGGTGCTACTAGGGAGTGGGTCTGCGCTCATGTCAATGGTATACAGGAAAAACCTCACTGCGTAAGCAGAATAAGCGGTCAAGACTCGGATTGGTAATAGTTATAACGAGTGCAATGCTTGGCTGTAATGAAAGTGCTAAACCATATATACACAAAAGGTGATCTATACTTTATTCAATATACTTAATGATCCCACAAAAATGGCGCATACCCATTTTCCTTCTCTCTGAACCATTGGAATTTGCTCAGTCCCTCTTTGCCACCAAAGTATTTTCCGTTTCCTTTGATTGTGTTGTCTTCAACAATATCTCCAACAACGTGTACATTGCTAACTGATGGTGTGCCTGAAATAATGTCATAGACAAACAGTTATGAAATTAGAGATAAAAATAGTGCCTAGTCATTACAAATAGGTCATATGAGTATGAGCAAAAATTATGGAACATACAAATTGAGATCAAGATGACAACTCTAATGGACACGGTCCTTATTTTTAAACAAGTGAACACTTTTATCTAGAGGTTAAAGGACTATAAGCAGATGAACCATCATCAGTTATTTTTGAAATGGAAAGGCCATATGTACAAATAAACATGCATTCTTAACAATATCTTTTCTGGTGAATTTTTTAAAATATCAGCAGCAAATTATCTGTATCTTCTGTCCACAGAGGCTCCAGCATATATAATTTGTAAAATAATTTAGATAGCAGGATTACATTTAGCCAAAACTAAACATATCCATCACAAGGTGATTGGTCTGGTTGTTTTGGCCTCTTCTTTTTTAGTCAAGATCATTTTCTTCTTTATGACGTAATAAGTTTGTAATTAAGTATGGCTGGACGCATCCATGATGCAGAGGGGGTAATAAAAGCATTCATTGTCTAAAAAATCCATTACAGATAGATCGGAAGAGATGCTTGCAAATATGTAACCCTAATGAATATGTGTCCCATATCTTAAGTTCAACGGAAAATTGTAACAGTAAAAAGTGATTGCAGAGAAAAGTATTTACCAGCCTTTACAAAATCTGTCATTGTGCATTGTGGCTCCCCCTTAACGCCCTCTTCCGTAACAGGCGTGTACATAAATACCAAACTTGAATCAATATCATCTATAGTTAGCTGATATTCCATCCCTTCGGCTCCATCTATTACAGCATTGCCGTTCCATGTTCGCCTCAACCAACTAGACCCAAAAGAGATTTAACAAGTCAAGGACATTCCTTACTACAAGAAAAATAGGAAGGGAAATAAAAACATTTGATAAAATGTTCATTTAAGCAAATAAAAATGGTAGAAAGTTAGTAGGGTAAAGAGGTAAACCAACCTTGCAACACCTTTCCCTGGTGTCCCACCACACCAAGCAATCTGAGGAACACCCTTGAGTACATTTCCTTCTACTAGTTCACCACTGACTGTTAGATTGATAACCTTTGGATATCCAGTCCCTGGTAAACAGAAACAGGATAAGAAAACCTTTGAACTATGTAGTGTTTGCCACCATATAGTAGATTAGCACACTGGTTGACCATCCATAAGAGCATTGTGTTATTGGATAATACAGGGTACTCTTGTCTAGTATGCCAAAATAATGGCTGCTCAAGGCAATTATTTGTGCATAAGTACTAACAGAGGGAAAAACTATTTCTACTCTCACAAGAAATAAAAAAGCTAGAAATCTTGCAGCAAGGCAAATAAAGCTTCAGAGGAGTTTCAGTGAAAGGGCCCCATAATTAAGTACAAAACTACAAACATTTTATCTAACTTACTACTACATGCAAAATGGGCACCAATTATAGAATTACTAGAAATCAGAATCAATTATTATGAATATTCAATGAGTTGTTTGATATACCTGGACAAACAGGTAAAGATACAGCAAAGACAGGCGGGAATTCAGCATCATTCAGTACTGGAGTGCATTCAACTTTCAAACATTTTCCAACATCCTCACTCTTCGGCCAGTACACCTTATATTTTACATATAGCAAGAGTTTAGAATTGGAAAAGGATGGTAGCATGGCAAAACTGGTAGAACTATACAAAACTAGTAGGGACATAGAACTTGTAGAATACAATAGCAGAGAAAATAAGGTCGAAGTCGATGATAGATGAAAATGCAAATTGCAGAAGATAATATGTGCACTCTGGAGGCAGGGGTTTTCATCGAGCCATTAATTTGGTCCTAGTTTTGTATGATGCAAGTTTGTGGTTTAAATTTCTTATCCTCACTCTTCGGACAGTACACCTTATATTTTACATATAGCAAGAGTTTAGAATTGGAAAAGGATGGTAGCATGGCAAAACTGGTAGAACTATACAAAACTAGTAGGGACATAGAACTTGTAGAATACAATAGCAGAGAAAATAAGGTCGAAGTCGATGATAGATGAAAATGCAAATTGCAGAAGATAATATGTGCACTCTGGAGGCAGGGGTTTTCATCGAGCCATTAATTTGGTCCTAGTTTTGTATGATGCAAGTTTGTGGTTTAAATTTCTTATCCACACCGCATGTAATGGCGATTTATTCAGTACTTTTAGCTTTAGGTAATTTTAGTGAACAAGGAGCAAAAGGACGGAAGTGCCCTAACTGCTGGCGTCAATCATGTTTGACAATCTTAGAGTGCAACCCTAATATAAAGGTTATTTTTGCATTCTTAAGGTCTATCAACCAGTGCTGGCTAATATTGGGCAAAGCTCTAGCTGAAACGGGCAGTTGGGATAAACAGAAACACCATGGATGACGGTACAAACTACAAAAAGGTCTGAAACGTCAGTTCTTTACAACGCAAATAACCTTAGGAGGAGTATTTGTACCTCGCTTAATTCTTCAGGAATAGGCACAAAACCTGTCGGTGTCTTGCCACCTAGAAACCATTGGTATTTGAGGACTAGTTTACCTTCACTACTAAGATTTGTGAAGCTAAAATGGCAATGGCAGGGGTCTTCTTCAAATGGATGGTCAACATAAGCTGTCTTCACTATGTAGTCCTGGGGCAATTTATTCTTCCATTGCTCAAGCAGGAAGGAGAATGTTGAATCTGTTCACGGAATTTAAAACAAAATAAATGTGCAATTAGGCTATCAAAGATACTAAAGAAGTCAAGAACCAGGTAACAAATATGTATCATACAGCTTTAGTTCATGATGTCACATCAAGCCTTGGCATGCTGCCTATGTTTTATTCATGAGAACAAAGAAGAACTAAAAGAACATGAAACCTAGTATTATTCACAAAAGTACCATGTGTTAAAATTCAAATTCCCTTGTTCAAAAAGGAAAAATGACATGCCTTGAGAAGAAATGCCAGGTTGACCACTCTGACACACAATCCTTTGGCATCATGCACTAGCATAAAGCCCGTGTGTCTAACCAAACACATGTCTTTAAGGAATATATATTATACTAAAAGTCTAAAACTGAAATCCTTAGAAAATGTGTTAACAACGAACAAAGAAGTCAACAAACAAAGTTTCTGTGCAGTAAAATCATACCAGCAGCAAGTTCAGGGGAGCAAAATTCCCAACCATCACGAATGCAAATAGCTGTATGAGCAGGATATTGCTTCACAACCTCAGCCTCGGTGGGATTCAGATCTGCATCAAATTCACACTTCAGAATATGAAAGATCTTAGTGTAATTAGATACAATATTCAGGTCACACCAAACATCTATACTTACCCAACACGACCAATGCAGGACTACGCATGATTGATCAATTTATCAACATAAGAGATCACAGCAGTCATATCCCTACTATATATGCCGACAAAGAATTGACACTGAGATACCTCAACTCTCAAAATTTGAAAAAAAAAAAGAACTATTCGTATGGCGACATTTTTCAAGGAAAAGGAAACGGAAAGTGGTTTATCTGGAAATATCTCAAGTAACAGAATCGCCTGCCTTTTCATTCAGAGTAACGACATCCCGATTGAATGAGATTTTACCACAGCAATAAGCTTAAGATCAGACATCAAGACAGCTATTTCTTACTACAGACCGTCCAATCAAAAAGTAGTAACTACGCAGGACAGTGAAAAGCATGTTTGGGCATACCTCGGTCGTTGAATTTTTTCATAGTAGGGCCTACAAGCAAAATCAAAGCAGCTTCCAAGTGTGGCATCTCAAGAAGTGGATTCTCCTCCACACGTAAACTCTGAAGGCAATTTGAGTTTAATATAGCACATGTGAGCCAACTATGCTAAATCTTCATGCATCAATATTCTTGAGTAACTTCATATAATTGAATAATTCTTATACATAAAATTCAGGTTCCAAGTGTTTGTGCGAACATCATATCATCATCAAGAGTGGAGTGAATTGCTCCATCGATGCATATAAGGTTCAATAACATCAAGTTAAAGGCTACCAACTAAGGTATGGAGATACATGCTGATATAACTTAGCTTGATAAGAAAATAAGCAGTGTAAATTACTTATAACTAAAACTGAAGAAAACCTACCTCCAGAGAAGGTAAATGTGGAAATCCCCTCAAAGTTGATATTCTATTCCTGCTGGCTGCTAACACCTATACATAAACAAAGTCAGGTCTAACTAGCTTATTTGATTATGTTCAAGTCAGACAAAATCAGCAAACTCACTTGAAGTCGAGGCTGACTGGCCATACAGAGTGACTTCAACTTATTTTGGGCGACAGAAAGGAACTGGTGCAGCAAGAGAAATACGAGGCTGAGATTTAGCTTTGTCAAAATAAGTAAATGATCAACTGCTACCTGCTAAGACTAAGTTGACAACATTACCATACCTCCAAGTTAGGAAATTCGGGAAGGCTGGCAAGTGAAGTTATTTGATTTCCAGCAAGATAAAGTTGCTACATAGTTCAGTATAAATGAAATTAGTGCACATGAGCCTTCTATGTGTTCAATGAATACGACTGGGGAAGCACAAACCTGGAGGACTTTGCAATTCTCAAGAGGCTCAAACCCAGGGAGCTTAAAGTCATTAAAGCTCAAATCAAGAACCTGGAAATATTATGAAACACATAGCACAGCAAAACTAGAATCAACAAAAATATTGCACATGAAGGATGAACAACAAAAAGGGAATGAGGGGATACCTTTACGCCGTTGAGTATCTCAATGCCCTCCAAACTTGATAACAGATTGTCCCGTAGATACACAAACTAGAAACAGGAAATATAGTTAGCAGTCATTTTATCCATGCCATTGCATAAGCAATGCTGGTTATATATATCTTTGCACACTTGCTAAGTTTAGCAACTACCATACAAATTAGCAAGATTGTTTCTCTCTAGTTATTCAAAAACGCAAAAAGCTGTGAGTTTTAAATGCTGCAAAACAGAAAAGGAAAGGCTGAATGCACTTTACCTCAAGTTTAGGTGTTAATCTCAACTGTTTCAGACTACGAACCCTGTGACCTCTTGAATCCAGTCTCTGTAGCAGCAGAAAATATGTTGGATGGAAGAAAACAACCACATGATGCAATCATCTTAGTTATTGACAAAACAAGCAGAAAAGCAACACTAACCACTTCATCGCTAGCCTTCAGATCCACCTGTGGCAGCATCATAAACCGTGAGTCACGACTATCAGCAGTCGAACTCTTCCTCCGGCTCAACACAGAAGAACCCTTGTCCGCCGATGACGTCCGAGAACCCAATTTCTTTGTGACACTGCTTGTCACTGAAGAGGACCGCGGTGAGTGCAGAGAAGCATTTGATGCCATTCTCCTGGAACTGGCAGTCGTGCTGCTGCCATTGGAGCTCTCTGTCAGGGATGGGACCTTGTTCAGTGTTGAAGTTGGCGATGCCTTAACAGAAGGCTTCTTCACCGAATCTACCTTGGTCCTCTCAGACACCAAAGATGTCCTCTTCTCCAGTGAAGGTCTGGAACTAACAGTGGGGACTGACACCGGTTTACTCCTCTTGGCCGCATCCGACAGCGAAGGACTAACCTTCTTAGCAACAACTGAGCTCCCATTCTCCTGTTGCTTCCCGGCAGTTCCGGTGCTGCTTCTTCTCTGCACCGAACCAGCGGTGACGGTAGAGGTAGGCTTCATCAACGAAGACCGGGACACATTCAACTGTGCCGAGGTAAGACCATCAGTCCGCTTCTTGACTGACGAAGACGCAATCCTGGCAGTGGGTGCAGATGGTCGAGGCTTCACCGGTTTAGCATCTGCCGGCTTTGATGCCTCCGGTGGAGCTTCCATTCCCGACAAGCAGGATAAAGGCCTCAACTGGGTTCACCTCCAATGCGTTAATAGTCAGTCAAGCCAACAACCTCTTGGCAGCTGAACACATGAGTGAGCTGGATTGCAAAGAGACAGACAAACACCCAATTAGTGTGACAGGGATGAAAGGGTCAGCAAATTGCTTAACAATTCAATACAAAAAACGCAGATTCCCTTGGCATGGAGCCTGCACGCCAGTTCAGAAATTGAAATAGTGGCCGAATTCGTCAACGCCTCAACGGAAATGACCAAGGGTGTGACGCGAGCTAGTACCAATCAGACTGAAAAATCGTGCAATCACTTTTAAAGCTCATTTCTGGAAGAAAAAAATAACTTTTAAAGCTCAGGAAGAAACGTGTAGCAGCAGTAAGTTTGAGGCCGGAATTCAAAACAGAATCAAAATTTCGTCCGAGATGGCAAAACACCAAAAGTCGTAAAAAGACTCAAACCACGCCGCCAAAACGCTCCTAGAACCCTAGCGAGCAGTAGTGAATGCGCATAAACCTCCACCACTGGTTCGGCGAGAAGGCGACCGAAACGCCCGCCGGAAATCACCGCCGGCGAGCCCCCAGGCGAAATACTTGGATAAATAACCAGGCCCTGGACTCTCAAACCACCGGTCACTCAGAACTGCGGCTCGAAAGTTAAAAACTCAATCCGAAAGAAAAAAACATCAGGAATTTCCAGCGGAAAAAGACCGAGCAGCGGGCAGGCAAGGGGTCAGTCCCTCTCAGCTCACCTCCCGTGTCGTAGCCGGAGCCGAGCCCAGCCGCCGGCCCTGCCTCCCCTTCGGGCTTCGGCCAATGCGGCCAGGAGCGTGCGAGGTGGTAGGCGGTGGGAGACGGAGACGAGAAGCGGAGTGGAAGAGCGGAGGCAATAGACAGCATCAGCCGGGGAAGAGTATCCGAGGGGGTCAAGCGAAGCAAAGCGAGCCGGTCCATATAATTATAGACAAATTCCGGGGGGCGGATGCATAAACTCGAAAAATAAAAGGTTGCCGGGTTTGGGTTTGGTCCCGGTCCCGGTCCCGCTCTCCGCGCTTTCGTCTGGGCCCCGCCCGGGCGCTTCGAAAATCGTTCGACTTTTTCCGCTTTGAGCCTCGAGCTCCTGAAAATTACTAGACGTCAAGGGATGGGGGTGGTTACTGTAAAGTGCCGCCGACGCCGGCGTACTGGTTCTTTCGCGTGGCCCGGCTGGCCGCTGGGACTTTGGAGCGGCGTTGAGTTTCGTGAGAGTAGTCTCCGGCTAGGTTAGGGCATCGTGGCCCACAAATTTTCTTTCACATCCGTTTATAAATAAGGATCAGTCTGCACATATTTAAACAACAATTCAAACTAAACATACGAAGTTTGTTCAAACACATCCGAATTTCATATAAACATGGTGGATTTCATTACATATCCGACCCTAGAGGTATAATTAGTTAACCTAATCTATTATTGCTGGCATCTGTTCCTCGTGTCCGGCCATGAGCCCTCAGAACTGAAGCTTTGCCTTCTCCAGTTGCGCCTCTGCACTCTACATCTCTGTCTCCAAAGCCTCGGGAAGTGAAGTTGTCCGTCTTCGCGTCGCCGCCAAGCGGCTAGTCGGTTGTTGATGTTCGGCCCACCAAGCTTGGCTTCAACAGCGGTGGCCTTCTTGGGACCCGAACGGTGGCGACCTACCGTGCACTACTCTTCCTCATTGCCGACTGCGATCGCGGACGTGTTGGCTTCGTGGTTGTGGCGGCGGAGCGCGGCCTCGGCGGTGTTCTCTGCCTCGTCGTCGGTCTTGCCCCACACCTCATCTGTTGCCTCGTCGAACTCCTTGTAGGCGGCCTCCAGTTCCGCCTGACGCTAGCGGTACCTCTAGCGGACAAAGTGGTAGGACTCGAGCGGCGCCGCCTGGTCCGTGTCCGGCACGATCGCCCTGCCGGCGGCGAGCTGCTCCTCTGCCTGCTGGTGCTCCTGAAGGAGCTGGTGGTTGTAGGCGCCTTCGGCCAGCGCGCTCCCGGAACTGCTCCTCCCGCTCATCCCTCACCATGTCCATATAATGGGAACGGGACTCGCCGATGGTCATGGTGCAATGTACCGACAAGGGTGGTGCGAAGGAGGAGGGTGGCGTCATGGCGTAGATGAGGAGGGTGGCGTTGGCTCGTCATCGGCCACTTCCTCTATTGGGACGTCGTCGTCCTCTAGTTGTCTGTTGATACGTCTCCAACATATCTATAATTTTTTATTGTTCCATGTTATTATATTATCAATCTTTGATGTTTTATATGCATTTATATGCTATTTTATATGATTTTTGGAACTAATCTATTAATCTAGATCCCAGTGCCAGTTTCTGTTTTTTCCTTATTTTTGAATTTCGCAAAAAAAGAATATTAAACGGAGTCCAAATGAGCTGAAAATTTACGGTAATTTTTTATGGACTAGAAGAAGCCCCGAAGCAAACGAGTTGGGCCAGAAGAGCCACGAGACCTCCACAAGGGTGGAGGGCGCGCCCTCCGTCCTTGTGGACCCCCTGACGTGAAACCGACGCCAAAAAATCCTATAAATACATAAACCTCCGAAAAGAAATCTAGATCGGGAGTTCCGCTGCCGCAAGCCTCTGTAGCCACCAAAAACCAATCGGGACTCTGTTCTGGCACCCTGCCAGAGGGGGAAACCATCACCGGTGGCCATCTTCATCATCCTGACGCTCTCCATGACGAGGAGGAAGCAATTCACCTTCGAGGCTGAGGGTATGTACCAGTATCTATG